TGCCAGCCTGGATTCAGAAAAAAGAGGAAAGAAGGGAAACCCTTTTGCTGCTATGATTGTATTCCCTGCCGCAAAGGATCGATATCCCAGCACAAGGGTGAGCATTAGTGTGTACAGAGATACAGTATCATAGAGTTTATTTTCAAAAGGATCATTCCCGGAAGATACACAGATAGGTCATGCAACCCCTGCCATGTTCATATAGCTGTTCTGTTCTAATGTCCCTTGAAATATTGTTGCCTCTTCCCATGACCCTTTATTTTTATCCTTCCCCTTTACTGTACTCCCTACAAATAAATCTCTTCCCAAAATGCTGGCATGGCAATTTACTCCATTCATCCATCAGGGTTAGTTCAAATACTAAAGCACAATTTGTCTCCACGCCTCCTTCAAGATCCTGGAGTCAACGTGCTTTAATTTCACTTGAAAACTTCTCTTTTGCAGACATGGCTGACTGTCTCAAATGCCCTGATGATTCCTATGCTAATGAAGATCGGAACACCTGCATTCCCAAGATTATAAGCTTCTTGTCTTATGAAGAACCTTTGGGTATCAGTTTAGGCACTAGTGCTGTTTCATTTTCACTGGCAACAGTTATGATACTCGGGATCTTTCTGAAGCACCACAATACTCCCATAGTGAAAGCCAACAACCAAGGCCTTACCTACACCCTTCTCATTTCACTCGTGCTGTGCTTCCTTTGTGCATTGCTCTTCATTGGCCAGCCAAAGAAGGCAACATGCTTTCTCCAGCAAATAGCCTTTGGCATCATCTTCACTTTGGCTGTTTCTTGTGTGCTGGCAAAAACCATCACTGTGGTTCTCATTTTTATGGCCACCCAGCCAGGATCCAGGCTCAAAAATTGGGTAGGGAACAGCCTGGCTTGCTCTATTGTTCTTTCTTGCTCTGTTCTTCAAGTAAGCATCTCTCTGGTGTGGATGGCAACTTCTCCTCCCTTCCCAGATGCTGACCTGCATTCATTACCTGAAGCAATTGTTCTGAAGTGTAATGAGTCATCACCAGTCCTGTTTTACGGTGTCCTGGGCTACATGGGTTTCCTGGCCATAGCCAGCTTCACTGTGGCGTTTTTGGCCCGCAAGTTGCCCAATAGTTTTAATGAAACCAAACTTATCACCTTCAGCATGTTGGTGTTTTGTAGTGTTTGGTTCACTTTTGTCCCTACTTACTTGAGTGCCCAAGGTAAGTATATAGTAGCCGTGGAGATCTTCTGTATCTTAACTTCCAGTGCTGGATTGCTGGGTTGCCTCTTTTTCCCCAAATGTTACATTATTTTGTTGCGACCTGAGCTGAACACGAAGCAGTTCTTAAGAAGGAAGCAGTAGTGAACCTTCTTTCCTTCGTTAAAGCATACGCTATGAATAGTACACTAGGAGTCGACTGCTGTTGTGTGAATGAAGCAATTAGGAAAGAGCTAAAACATTAAAGACACATGCCCATTTTGCTGCCCAATAGTTTCATATTTGTCCATTCCTTATGGTTATAGTAAGAATGTTTTGAGCAGGATGTAAGTGGGGAACTCTTCCCTCAAAGCAAATGAAGGTCACAATGGTTAGATGTTCTGGGACCTCCTCCTGTTAGATTGCAGCACTTGAATATAGGCAGAAGAATGGGAAGTGAAGGGTCAGCTGGCTGCTTTTTTGCATTTGCTCAGTTGAAAAGAAGACAGTGCTGAATGATGGGGAAGCTAGCAGGCCTTCCAACATCTCTACTTCCAAGACATGTTCTGGCTCCTTTACTGATGATTCCAGGCAATCCTTTCACCTGGGTGCCCAAGGAGTAGCAATACAGGCCCCTCCTTCCTCACTTCTCTCTTCTACTAAGGCATCCGTACTGAATACCAGATTAGTTGAAGTTGTGCATCAAGGTGTAACAACCAGGAAGCTGAAGTCATGCCTCACTATCCTCCATCAACATGACCATCAAAGAAGATGGATTCCAAGATTATTGGAGCATTCTCACTTCTGATGCAAACAAATCTTCTGGCTTTTGGTATATAGCTTTCCATTTTCTATCATTCCTTGTGGTTAATGATTAACTGCCCTTCCCCTTGTGCCCTCACTGCATTGATTCTTCTTACCTCAGTTGATGGGGAGGGGGAGTTTGAAGTGAAGCACAGTCTAGATTCTTATTGCAAGTAGTTTTGTTGGAACATTTGTTCCTTCCTGGAAATTAGCAAGATGTTTAAGTGTTCCATTTTCAGTACTCATAAATTCAGATGTTCTCACTGGGCACCCAAACTGGCCTCAGTGAAACAGTAGCAGGACCTGGTAGGAGGCTGGGTGACCAAAGCGGGAGTGTGGGGACCAACATTTCTGTCATTTATTTGGTATCTGGTTTTAAAAGGGTTTTGATATTCAAAGGAAGAGCAGAGAACTGAGACTTAAGTTGTCCCTCTAGGTTTCTTCCCATATAAAGCACTAACTGTTCTCATCTCAGTAGTTGAGGAGGGGGAGTTTGAAGCAGAGCACATTCTTGTTTCTTAGGGCAGATGGGACTATTTGGAACATTTGATTTATTAAAAAAAGTAATTGAGTGTTTGCAACCCCGCACAATTTGTTCATTTGTGAAAGGTTGCAACCAATGGAGATTTACTTCTCTGCCTTTGCTGTTTCTACTTGCTGTACTCAAATGATCTGACTGGCTACATCAAGATGCCTCAGGAAAGGAGGAGGAAGACCTGGTGGGAAAAGGGACTGGGTGATTAAAGAGGGAGTCTGGGGGTAGATTATTCTGTCCTTTGTCAAGCAACTGGTCTTGGAAGGGCTTTGATGCCTGAGGAAATTACAGTTCTCACTTGGCTTTTTACATACATGGTTTTTAGCTAAGGAGACAGAGTGGAAAAGAAGAGAAGCGGGCCACCTCTGATTCCCACACTGAGATGAGAAAAGGGAGAAGAAGGGTGGATTATGGTCTTCATTTGCACACTGAATGGGAGAGAACTGACAAATGAAGACTTATTGCTATTTCACTGTAGTGAGAGTTCCTCAAGGCTGAAATGCAGAAAATGTACAAAAGCAACTGCTATTTACAAGCAGACTGTCTAGTTACTTTTAATAAATTCAGATTGCCATCAGCAATATCTCCTTGTCGTTTGTTTTCCTGCATACCATATATTTTTTTCTAGTATTTCACTGTAAATCAGTAAAACATGACTAGTATTAGTATTGTTGGGCAAATGATGACAAGAATATCCATATTCCTAATATAAAGTTCTTATTTTTATGAAAAATCTTTGGGTCTCACTTTCATTTTCCTTGATCAATCAATCACTCATTGCCATAATTCTCACAATGGAGGTTTGCTTTGTGCATCTGTGGATCATTGTTTTTAAAACTAGGAAGCCAGAATCTAGAATCAGAATTTATCAACAAAACCATTTGCCAGCTCCTGTGACCTTATCCTGCATTCTTCTTCAAGTAAGTGACTTTTCCTCCATTCCCCAGTATGAATATATTTTAGATTCAATGGCTGAAAAGAAAAAAATACTGAGATGAAATGAGAAGAGCCCAAAGTCATCATAGTCTTGCTACCACGCAAGAACACTGATATGCAGATAATTTTAGGCAGTGAAAAAAATATAATTGCCACTCTCCTCCTGTCACAGAACTCATCAAGCCATTTAACACCTCCTCACGCACATTCTGTATTCTCCAAACATCAAGTGGAAATTGCAATATTGCATATTGTTCGCAAGGTTCTCCAAAGCAGCAGAAATATGATCACATCTTCAAACTGTTTCAGAGGCACCCAAGTTGATTCATTGCTTCCAAGCAATTCCCTGCTTCAGTTCATAAATATGATGAGATTCTCTCAAAGCTTCATCAAACTCAACTCACAGCTTTGTACAGCCCTAAGGGGTGGGGTGGGGGGACAAGATTGGTTCGCATTTTATTTTTATCATCTCTGTAAATTGGTTATCACCTTATTGTTTTAAAAGTACTTTGAGATCAACTACTTTTTTACCTGCCCAATAAGCTTTCCATATATTGATATTGGATTGAGAATTATGTATTTATTATTTTAATTTTGAGGCCATCCAAAAGAAAAGAACAACATACTGTATATAGAAAAACAGCTAGCCAGAAGACGAGTTCAATAACAATTAGGGGGAAAAAAAACCTTATAGAGACTCCATAGCCACCTATCCCAAGACCTGGGAGAACAACTAATATTTAAATGATTTTCTGTATCTCATTGGGGTGGGAGCCATATTTATCTCTGGGGGCATGTCATCACAATTGAAAAGGACTGCCTCCTGGGTTTGTTTAATCAATAGGACCCAGAGTGTATCTACTCTGTCTGATCATACCAGGTGGGCCAAAACTATTGGAGATAGCTGGTTCCTCAGAGCACAGGCTCTGCTGCCAAGAAGGGCTTTATAGTTGATAACCAGCACTTTGACTTTGAGCCAACTGGTCATCAGTGCAAGTCACTGGGCAATGGTGACACCTGAGCATACAGTGACATGCCCAACACTGCCCATGCAGTGGCACTCTAGACTTGCTGTAGCTTACACAAGATGTTCAAAGGCAGCCCCATGTACAGCACATTACAGCAATCAAATCATGAGGTGTGAGTGACTATCTGAAGGGCCTCTCAGTCCATGAATGGGCACAACTGGCACACTAGGTTAACCTGTGCAAAGACCCTCTTGGCCACAGTTGCCACCTGCTCTTCAAGCAGGAGCTATGAGTTTAAAATGATATCCAGACTGTGCTCAAGTCTCACATGGGGAAGTGCAATTCAGTTGAAGACTAAGGATAGAACATCCCCAGAGCTAAGGGGACCATATCAACACAACAATTTGATCTTGTCAGGACTGAGCCTGAGTCTATTCCTCCCCATCCAGACCCACATCCTAGGTCCTTCCTTTTTCCCTTTTTTAAGGGAGCCATTTGCCTCCTCTAGTCATCAGATTTTCACTCATTCTTCAGTATTTCTCAAAAATATAACATAAAAGTTTGACCAGATCAACATCTGACTCTGGAGATTTAAATTTATTCAGTTCAAACAGGTATTTCCTTACTAAGCTTCTGGTGATCGGACACATGACTACTGCCTCTTCACCCGGTTTATTTTAATATCCTAGTAACATATATACCCTCTTGAAGGAGAAGACAGAGCCAAAGTAATAGTAATAGTAGTAGTAGTAGTAGTAGTAGTAGTAGTAGTAGTAGTAATGCTAATAATACTATTTTTTTTTAAATGAATAATTCTACCTTTTCTTTTTGTGCTAGCATTTTGATGCCTTAATGGAACTTCTTATATACTACTTTTTGTCTTTTATTTTAAACATATCTGAAAATTCATTTTTCATTTTTCTTTGG